CATACCAAATTTCAGGACCTTAGGCCCTAAAATGAAGAAGCTGAATCCATTTAAAAAATGGCAGGAGAAGAAGGAGAAGGAGGAGAAGAAACATCAGAAAAAGCAATATGGGTTCACCACCACTTCGTGGTGTGGTGAACCCATAAAAAGAAACGAGAAAATTGACTTAAAGATCCAGTTTTACTGGCCTGAAATCGATTTGGGTGACTTTAATTATATATAAAATATTCTATCCATAGTAACCCCAGCAAACAGACAGACATATAGAGCATATCACCACAGTACATGTGAGAAGTCATTGAACAGTATATTTTATTTTCTCATTGTGTTTGCCGACACACAGGAAACCCACGCTTTTTTTCAACCTGTTAATCGAGACATATTCTTATTGTTAGGACGACACAGGCCTCTATTTTAAAAGGACGGACTCGTGGTTATAGAACTACACAATGAAACAGCACTCAGCTCAGAAGTAGCAGCCTCTCCAATCAGTCTACACCGATCAGCATCACCATCCATCCTCCTTGATTGCTTGTGAGAGTCCTCCAGAACGACACTAGTCAATCAGGTCATCCTATACTACTTAACATCCGGGTATCTTTCAGGCCGGCGCCATGGCGGATACAAGTAGTCAATTTCTGCTCAGTTTTAACACAAGTGTCGTCTGATTGTCGATACTAACAAAGCGACTGATAACAGAGACCTGAAAATTGACACAAAGCGCTACCAATCATTCGTGTAAAGAAGGATGCTGAGGAATATGTTTTAGAAAGACAATACATTTGAAACAGGAGACATTTAGTATAGAATTGTTGACCAAACGGATTTTTGCATGAATTGTGATAATGAGCTGGAATTTTTCACACTTAATCATGCTAAAATATACCTCTTACTATGTTTAAACAATATATGTGCAAAGATCACTGAAATAATGCAAAAAGGAAATTATAAATTTGAAAGGAACCAAATGGGGTCAATTTGGACCCCGTTTAGTCAGTTCCGTCGCAAGAAAAAGTTCGGGTGTTTGAGGGTTAAACTTATTATTGCAGACGCTGGCAGAAACTCTGACACAATTTCGTTAGCTTCCACCAGACGAACAAAACGGGTGAAAAAAGAGTGTAAAATTTAGCCAATAAGAAGAAGAATAATTGACAAGGGGAGTTTAGCCAGCGTAGAGTTCATTTGCGCAGATGGGGAAATTAACCCTCTCGCGGACTGACTCTCCTGGCCAACTATTTCCCCTTTTATAACGAATTCTAGGATCCGTATCCCCGTAGAAGGGTCTGGTGGAACCTACCATTCACAGAACATAGGGTATTCTTAAACTAACGTAGAAACCTCATAATATAAGAATATTAGCTTTATGTCTAGCATTGGCTGTAAAACTATTTCCCCTTTTTTAACGAATTCTAGGATCCGTATCCCCGTAGAAGGGCCTGGTGGAACCTACCATTTTGTAACAATCACAGAACATAGGGTATCCTTAGACTAACGTAGAAACCTAATAATATAAGAATATTAGCTTTATGTCTAGCATTGGCTGTAAAACTATTTCCCTTTTTTAACGAATTCTAGGATCCGTATCCCCGTAGAAGGGCCTGGTGGAACCTACCATTTTGTAACAATCACAGAACATAGGGTATTCTTAGACTAACGTAGTAACCTAATAATATAAGAATATTAGTTTTATGTCTAGCATTGGCTGTAAAAAATCTGACATTCATATCAATGCACGACTGCTGACAATACAGTTGATTCCATTTTTCTGTATTGCAATTGTATAGAAATATGCACTAGTACTCCTTTCATCGTGAATCAGGAAAAAGGGCAAGTTCACCGATATATGTACTCTCCAAGACCTGTCAATAAATTTCTACTCTATCCTACTCTCTCGTGTATGTTCAACTCATACAAGATAGACTTCATTTGACATCTATATAATATCTTTTAAATTGTATATAGAGATATATATATGTTGGCTACAGAGTTCCATATCATATATATATATACATGACATTTTGTAATATGTGTGAAACGTGGTCTGACGAACGTGATTCACAAACTTAGGCCACACCAATGTAATTTCTTGGTTCTCGGATATATTCAGAAAAAAATATTAAGCGACAGGGCAAAAAAAGAATAAAAATAAAAACAGGACTAGGCCTCCTTTTATAGCCCCAAATGCTACGATAGGAGCCATGAAGTAAACACAAAAGGCTGGGTTAATATTTAAATAATGAATTTTGAACTTTTAATCAAAGCACTGTATTAATAGATTGAAAAACTGTAACAACTAGGAAAAAAATGACTTTCCTCAACTGTTGCATTTGAGCATTTTAAGTTCATTCAGAACCAGAATCTTTTTTTTTTTGCAAATCAGAAAAAAATGAATCCGAGAACCAACAAATTAAATTGGTGTGGCCTTACATTTACTGAAGTTTTCACGTCCACATGTGGAGGGCTATTCCATCTGTAATACTCAGAACTGGACGTCAAGATAACCATACTACGTATGATGCACTCACTGAATACGTCCATTTTCGTCCCAAGCTGACAGACAGTATTTTACTCCTTTACAAAATTGCTCTGTCTCTTTAATCCATCTCTTCTTCATCAAAATAGCCCCCAAGTTGCCATAGAAATTTATCTAAAGGTCCGTGTATTTCACAACCTTCACAGGCACTGGTGATTTCTGTACGACAATTAAAACCTGCCTTCAACCACGTTGTGAAGGAACGAGACATTTTAAGCCAGTTTCCGAACGTCTGGATAAATACTTGTGTATCAAAAATGTTTCATGCGCATTTATAATCTCCGACTCCTCTGTCACACATTCAGAACCTTCCCCCGAACACCAGCCGACCAAGGTTGTCTGAAGCCCCTGTCACACATTCAGAACCTTCTCCCGAACACCAGCCGACCAAGGTTGGCTGAAGCTCCTGCCACACATTCAGAACCTTCTCCCGAACACCAGCCGACCAAGGTTGGCTGAGTGTCGGGAGCCACAGTCTGACCAGACTTAGACCTCGCCTACTTTTTTATACGAATCGGATCGAATGTGAGTTACATTTGACTCAAATTTCACTTATTGCATGCCAACCACGCGCCCCGACCTACTCCCGAACACCAGCCAACAACCAGCCAACCATGGCCGAACCTTCGTCCACACTCGAATGTGTTAAACACTTTGAGAGGTGATAAAATTTTCATTTTATGTTGGAACAAAAGATAAGAAACTACCAACACAGATGAACTTTCATGGAAACATTTTGAAACATTCGGTTGGCGCAGCCGAACAGTAGCCGATCTGGCTGAATTCGAACACCGACTGACCTTGTTGCCGACCTACTCCTGACAAGGAAGGCCATATTCGTTTATGTGTGACATTGGCTAAAGTGTCCGGCACTTATACCTGTATGCAGCTCACCTATCTCATGCTCTACAATCTACCTTGGTTTCTCCACCTTCACATTTCTCCCGGTACTCCTGTGACTGATTGATTCAAACGCCAACGCAAAACGCCATGATTGGTCAATGCCTCGCTTAAGTGCTCCCATAGAAAGTTCACATCATGCGAGATCCCCTTAAAAAAGTTTCGACAAACCCCAGAGGAGCCCATCGTTCAACTTCACAAAATTTAGCCTAGGAAGTATTCAAGGGCACTTTGCCCACCCCACATAATCTAATATCGAACTGACGCTAGGGCACAGAACCTAATTTCCTGGGTCAGTTCCTCTGGTGCAAAACGTTTTGCTCGGCCTCATTGATCAGATTGAAGGTCTGGCATTGGCTTGTGACGAATGATGATTTATTATTAACTTGAGAAATTACCTGCGCTGCCGCAGTGGTCTTTACAACACAGAGAAATACTGAGAAAACTTCACAAAATCGAAGAACGGAATCATATATGTATATATACTTGGGGCGTAGCTTTTATTTCTACTATATATAAGGCCATGTAGATTTGATTATATAGATGACATCCGCGCTTGCATGAACTTTCGTCCGTTTCCAAAAGAAACTTTTCGACCATACTGTAAATCGTTTAAAGCAGCTTAAAAATGAACAGATATAATTGCAAAAATTTATTGAAGATGATACTAATGCCGTAGAATGCCAAGATCAATTCCAAAGTACAAACAGAAAATGTAAAGAAATGAAAATGAAGGGTCTATTATATGTATTTGTCATATCATACTCAGTAATCTGTTCAACCTTCATGACCACGTAGAGTTCCTAATGAAGGCAACTTGTTTTTGCCAAACCTTTTTATTCGCTTGTTTGCATCAGTTTTAGGGTTACGTTCCCGGAGGATGACATCCATATAATCAAGTTAACATGGCCTAAGTGCTAGATGATATCTGCTGGCTCTCTCTCTCTCCTCGCCATGACCAGAAAAGGTCCTGCACACAATCTTGTGGATGACCCGTACTCATGATGGACGAGTTTGCCTGTGGGTAGGCTTTAATTTGATCCCGGAGTAAATCAAAGACATCGATGCCCGTGTTGCACATCATGCCTCTTTCGTGACAATCACGTTTTTCGATTTCTGGGGTTCCCCTGTGGTGGATGTCGGAATCAGGAGGTCTGTCTGCTGGGATGAATGAAATGATGAGGGCGGGTTACGACGAAGGGCACAGGAAGGTATACGTTCTGCTTCGGTGATGATAGCAATTGACTGTTCACAGCAGTATATACGTGAATGATCTGAATGCAGAATACCTTCGCTATTGACCACCGTTCATCCAGATAAATTGCAAAGCCAACTTTTACTCTTGCCTTTCATTTCTGGCGTTTAGGGAGACGAAAACCCACCGACCGCAGATCGATCGAAAAGACGTTTGTCGGCGCTAGGTGTGAAATTGAATCCGTTATTGTAAGCACAGGGCCACTTAAAAGTCCGTCGTCGCAGCAGTTTCGGGAAATAGGAGTCCGGTTTGGGTAATATTGAATTCCGATTTGTCATAAGAATACGGTAGTCATTGGTTTTCTGAAAGAGTTGAAAGTGCGTTCTCCGTGTGTCATATCACAGCTCTGTCATCAGAATATCTTTTCCCTTGCCCCCCTGTCGTGGTTGACCTTTACTTGGAGAGGCGCCGGTTGAATACGATCTCGTCTGTCTGTTGATGGTGGCGTATGTCGCAGCGGGATCTCCTACAGAGGTTCCCTCCCCTGCAGCGGGCCCGGGCGGGGCAGCTTCTCTACCCGGGGCGGTGCCAGGCCGCCTGCCATCCATCACCATAGTGGCCACGCCAGGTGACTCGGAACGGAAACTTTCCATACTACTGTAGTTTCCACCTGAGCGGAAACTTTCCAGGCTGCCATAGTCGCTGGCTAGGGAGTTCTGAGCGATTCTGTGCCAGCTCCCCTCTTCGTCTTGTACCCAGCTCGTCGGAACGGACATGGGCCGCGGGCATGTCTGCCACCTGGTGCGGGGGTTCTCTCGTCTGACCGCCGTCTCCCTTCCACCAGCGTAACGCTCTCTCTGTATGGCCTCGTAATCCCTCTGTTTTAGACTGTGTTGTCGCGTCAGCTCTGCTCTGCCTGACCCATCGACGTCGTCTGTCCTGAACTCCACCCTCTTTTCCTTTTTGGTACTTGGTGCACTGCTGGTGCTATGAGTTCTCAGAGCGCTCCCAGGCACTGGGTCGCATCGCTCTCGTCTTCTTTCGAATTCCCGTCCCAGATTCTGAGATTTTGCACTGCGAAAGGCTTCTTTACAAGCCTGTCTACTACTTTCTCCTGATGCCCGACTCGGTAAAGTCATGTAGTCGCCGTAGTCGCCGAGTGTTGCGCTTCTTCGCTGGGGAGGAGCGGGCTTTGTCTTTCTCTGTGGCTGACCGCCGGTGGTGCTGTACCCGTCCCTGAATGTGCCAAACCGCGTCGGAGACACGCTCATATCACCATTGAGCGACACGACAGCGCCGGGCCCGAGGTTTTGCCTTGGAAGCGTGGATGCGTGAGTCTGTCCATCCCGCTGACTAAGGGCTTGGTCCACACTGAAACCTCGCTGGTACGTGTTCACGTGCCCGTTCGGAATGCCTCTGCCCAGCGTCAGCGCTCTCACGACCGACGGAGAGATGACATGGTCCTCCCCTACCCGGTGACGCCTGACAAGGCTTCCGTGTTGGGTTTGGTGAACTGCGTTAGTCTGTAAAAGTGGGTGTGTGCTTACGGGATGGGGAGAATGGTTTGGAACGGCAGATGCCTGGATGTTCTGGCGCTCTTGTACAGTCAAGTCGCCGTTGGGGAGATTTTGGCTGTGTGTCGGGCCTCCCGGCGTTTGCCCCCTGCGGTCGGCATGTTCTGTCTGTCCAAGTTCAAAGTGGTGTGGTGACGTCACTCGACCGTTGGGCGGCTCCCGCGCGCTCGGAGAAGGATTGTTCACCTGCGCCTGCGTGTCTCCCTCCCCATCGATGTCAAGCCGAGCCGTGATGGTGTCGATCTGGTCCACAATGCCCCGCAGTTCTGTCACCACCTCCCGCAGCTCGCCAAGGACATTCTCAAGGTCATCGATGACGGTCTTGACCTGAGCCTTCACTTCGGATGAGTTCAGGGCCTTCATGTTGCTTCAGAGCTCTGAAAGAAAAGAAAAAAAGACAGATTCCTGTTCAGCAATCTTACCACGTACCATGACCAACACAGAATCATCAGATATTGCCTGCGTATTCATGCTTCTTTTCCCACTGGTACACTACAGCCATCTTTGATTAATACAGAAGCAACATTGCCCATCCGTCACACATTATGGACAGATAGACACGGTGCAAAGAAGGAACATAAAATCAATGATATTGCAGCAGAGAAGGAAAGAAAAAACCTTTCATGTACAGATCGTGAGGCAATCTATGAGAGATCCAGGTTTTCCTGGTACGCACAATGACCTAGTTTTGTTTCGACCTTCGATCCAAAGCTGGGTGATGAATCCTTATGTACCATCATGGTAATCCCACCAAATTACTCTGCGGCTAGAGAAAGAAATTCTGTCGGCAATAACGAGATAATAAAATCGCTCGCTAATCAGGCTGCGGGCCAGAACATCCATCAATCCCGCAAGATGCACCCAGTGGAGCCGCACACCAGTTCTTAACCTTTGACCTGTAATGCACTAATCCTGATATCCACCCTAATGTCGCAATTCTCATTGAGCAGTGCGTAGGGTAATGGCCATCAAATGTGCATTTCATCAAATTTTTATGACGAGTTAAGAACCCTCGACGAGATTTTTTTCAGAGTAACGCTGGATTTTGTATAATGCAATTCTTTCTTATTTGCAACATATGTATATATATATATGTAGCGCTGTTGATCGAGTGACATCGATATTCTTTCTGCTCTGGTATTAACATCCACAATAATGTCAACTTTCTGATTATTTGACATGGATTTACGTCTCCTGACACTTAGTATGTTTTCAAAGGTCTGGGGGTGGTCAGCTGCTGCTGAAATTTAACTTAAGTAGGAACGGCAAACGGCAAACGAGAGAAGAGTTGTTGTTATCTCCATTAAAAATGGAGGTATTGTTTTTGCTATGTATGTGTCTGTGTGTGTGTGTGTGTGTGTGTGGTTGGGTTGTGTGCGTGCGTGTCTGTGTGTGTCTCCCTGTCAGTGTATGTGTGTGTATGTGTGTGTGCGTGTGTGTGTGTGTGTGTGTGTGTGTGTGTGTGTGTGTGTGTGTGTGTGTGTGTGTGTGTGTGTGTGTGCGTCCACAAGACCCTTTGGTCAGGTTCTAACGGTTGGCCGGATCTCGTCTAGTCTAGTGACCTGATTATTTTCGAACGAAACTGTTGGCACTGTGCCCTTTGGTCGAGAGACTCTGGTCTGAATGACTGATGGCCGGGGATTGAGGCTGGTTCTAATTTGGTGAAGGTCATCATTTACAGAGGATGCTTTATTACACCATTCATCACTTCCTATATCAGTGGGTAAAGCCCCTTTCACACACAGCCGAATATGGCCGCCCGATCAACAGCCGAACTCCCCCCCCCCCAACCATGGTTAGATCGGGATCAAGTCGGCTGGGTCGTTTATTGTCGAGATGTACAAAGAAATTGGATTAATTTATTTATTTCTGTATTCTTTAACCAGGGTAGCACTACTCAGTGACATAACACTGCTTTACAGAGTGGCCCTGGGTATGACACATATATACACGGAAATACAACAATACATACACCACAAACAATATCATAAACGTGATCCATTACACGTAATCGGGGTCATACCAGGTCGTAAGGGAGGGAAGTCAGAGGTCACGTAACTGAGCATACGGTGTTCTGAACGTCTGTATCGACGGTGCAGTTCTAACACCGGGTGCGGGAGTTTATTCCAGCCCACAGCACCTCGATAAGCAAACGTTCTCTTGCCGCATTCCAACCTAGCTTTAGGAAGTCGCAGGGGCTGGTTCATACTGTGTCGGGTGGATGAATCGTCAAAGCTAAACATGAATCCTTGTCAAGGTTGTCACGAATGTAACCTTACTAACAGAACAAAGCGCAACGCATGAAAAATGTTAACTCAATAAATTTTCGACCTGTCCTTTGTACATCCTACTTCTCGGTGAACGTCCGTACGGTCGGAAGGTCAGATGTCAGAAGTAGGGGGGGGGTCATATATCGCAAAGAAATCACATACACGGCCAAAAAATTCGATGCTGGGTCAGTCTTTGATATGTTTTGAACGTTTTTGCTGAATTCATGCCAATGCTGAATTAAGATATGTATCATACATGGGAAAACAAATCAAATTTGCGGTACAGGACAAAAAGACTAAGTAAAACATATATACCAAAGGTTCTGTCCATTTTGTCCAATTAAACCAAATGGAAGATGAATTCCACTTTATCATGGAATGCTCTCTATTCACATTTCTCAAATCAAGTACAACAGATTTCAAAAGACTCGATGTTACAGACAGATTTGGATATGAAATTATCTTTAAATACAATAGCTTACACAATGCAAAAATAGGAAATTTTTTAACAGACTGCTTTGTTATTAGAAAAATACTGAAACCCATGATTAGCCCTACTCGATTGTAACGACATATCAAAGACTTAATATGCTATAATCTAAGTTTTACTTCATAATTTTTGTGTGTGTTGGGGTGTGCTATGTCCAAACGTGTTGCCATACGTGTGACATGTGCCATAGATTGTTGTTTTTATATCGACAAATACTTTTTGGTCATGTTTTAAGTAAATTTCCACACTTTGAATACTTGACAATTAAACAAAAATTTATATTCTTGTTATCATTTGATAAACAAAATTTAACTTCTCATGCAGCCTCATACATTTATAAAATTAAGAAGCGAGAGGAAGTCGAAAAGACTACAATACATTGGACGTTTATATATACATGTAACAGTTATACGTTTTTGTATATGTATATGTGTATGATTGTATTCTTGTGACTTGTGTTTACCCAGTGGGGCAAAAATGTACAATAAAGGTTCATTCATATACAATTGTCGCGCAATAAAGTTCTCCATGCATAATGTTATGCATCATATGGTCTTTATTTTATCAGGACTTGTGGGCCCCTCAAGGCGCCTCCTCGTATCTCACTCCTTTACGGACTGGAGCCGGTCGGTATTGGAGATCAGTATCGTCATGCAAAAGTTCGGCACGCGAAAATCGACATGAAGGATCCAGGAGAACACTGATTCACGGTTAAGCCACAGCAAGTAAATTTTATGGATGACATCCTCCGCAGACTCCAAATCTAATGCGAGCGGGCAAAAAAACAAGGCGGGCCAAAAAAAAAAGATTCCTACATTTTCAAATTTTGACATCATAAACCTTAAATTAAACAAGAAATTATAAATTAAACAAATTTATATGCTAACTGTGTTACGTTTACTGCCTACCATTAAAACATCCATTTCTCATTGAAACAACTTTGAATACTAAAAGTTTTCATTCATTGTACAATCTGTTTTGATTTAGTGGGAACATCACAAATGCACAACCACCATCACATATAAAAGGAATAAAATAAATCACTGCACCACAGTAAAAGACAAAACGTTAAATCAGAGCGCTAGCCTTGTCTTGTCTCCTGTCTTTAAAGATATCTCCCATCCACGTTGCGGCATGGCAACAGACATGTTGCCCATTTTCGGCATGTTGACCACTGTCAGAGGGCAATAATTTTTTTTTCCAAAATCAGGTAAAAATTAATGCGCGCGCTGATGTCATCCATAAAAATTACTTGCTATGGCCTAAAGGATCGTCTGACATTTGCGTCACCTAATCCATAATATCGGCATTTGGATGCAGGGAAGCACAGTGATAGGCACGATAATGCCTGGCCTTTTTCGTTTGAAAAAGACTTTATCCATGATGGCTAATGTATATGTATCGTCGTCAAATATAAGAAGGTAAGAAGGCTAAAGTACTAATACTAGTAGTGCCCTAGGCCTTGTTAATCCATTTTACATTTTATGCTTCACTGTTCTTTTTATGGTCCAACAGAGATCGGACCTTTTCGGCAAAGGTGCAGATATACATAATATACGCATCCATGCTATTAACTTTGATAACTTTTGATAACAATTTCAAACAATGATTTTTTACTCAAAGGATTTACGCTAATACATTATAATTATGACAATTCTAAAAATCTTACAACTAACACAAACATAAATATTTCACGCTATAGATAAATTCAATTTCATTCTAGAAGGTACGGTAAACCCGTACTGCGTACAAATAGGTAAATATATCAAAGAATGTTTAGACCTTAGAACAAATAGCATACTAAGTTGATTCATCTATTGTTTAGTACGCAGGTCAATTTTGTTGTACCCACGTACCAGTCTGTATGTTTACATGTAGTTTAAGACCTTACGAAAGTCGCTGTACTTTTTGTTGTGTCAATGAAGTTCTTGTTCTATGATGATGCATTGTGAAGAATCTAAATTACACTGGACAAGTGTAGTAGACCGGTACCCCATACATATAATACTTGCATCTCTAAGCTTTCTCGTAAAACCCCCCACCGATTTTAACAAGCCATCTGGTGTTTATGTACTAAGGCCACAGCAAGTAAATTTTATGGATGATATCCTCCTCAGACTCCAAATCTAATGCGAGCGGGCGAAAAAAAACAAGGCGGGCCGAAAAAACAAGGTTCCTACATTTTAGAATTTTGACTCAATCATTGTATAAAAGGTTTTGATTCAGTAGGAACATCACATATACACATCACATATCACTGCATCAAAGTAAGAAATAAAACATTAAATCAGAAATTTCTTGTCTCCTCTCTTCATAGTTATCTGCCATTCACCTTCCGGCTTGGCAACAGACATCTTTGCCCATTTTCGGCATGTTGACCACTGTCAGAAGGCAACAAAATTTCTTGTGTTTTTTTTTTCGAAAATCAGGCGAAAATCAATGCGCGCGCTGATGTCATCCATAAAAATTACTTGCTGTGGACTTAGTCTTCTCCAGATAGTTTTAGATTTGTTTTTAATTGTATGTACTGTGTTTGTTGATATGGGCCATGGGCCTGATGCAAATAAATAAATAAAAATAAATAAGCAGGAATTGCCGATAAATTCGTCAGTCAGAT